GCCCTCGTGTAGCTTTGCGCGAAATTCAAAACAAACAAACAAAACACTCGTTGTTAAAAAAACGTAATAGCTAGGTAAGTCCTAATGATCGTACCATTTTCAAATCCCAGTATAATCTCAATATGTCGCACAGAACCATTCACGTTAACGTAGCAGCATATTAGCTTAGTACATTTATAGGTAATTATAAAAGTAAAAAATAAATTAAATGATTTTTTTGTTAAAATTTAGCTCTAACCATCAAAAGTTAATATAACTCAAACATTCAGAAGTTTTGGATTTTCCTATTGTCTAAGATTGCTATGCCTACTGTCTAAGTTTTCGGGATTCAATTTGAAATGGGTTTAAAGGGTGAATTTCATATAGCTAAGAACATCCGCAGCGAAATTTGAGCTTTTGAAAACTAGTGCACAATGTAAGTCACAAATCGAATGTTCATCAAGTCGCTATAGATGAGAGTTGTGTGTTACTATATATACTGAAATCAATCAGGTAGCTAAGATTATATATACTGAAATCAATCAGGTAGCTAAGATTATATATACTGAAATCAATCAGGTAGCTAAGACTATACGCATGAACGATATTCCGAAAACATACTGTGGAGAATAATTTCAAGCGCCTGCAGCAAAGGAAATACAAGCAAACAATATATCAAATTTTAGTCTATAATAATGGTTTTATTGTATGTCTTTACTTTCTTTCCAAGTTCTTTATTCTGTGTAATGACTTCTCATTGGCTGCCCGGGAAGAGAGGAATCGTTAGAACTAACATATACCAAGTTTCAGATTATGAAAAGGATACAAATGCAGTATACCATGATTCCAAATTTCACATGCCACTTACTATTCAAAATGTTATATACAGGGAAGAAAACTTCCATTTAACACCAATTTGTACCAGCATCTTTATCGCCCCTAGAGTGGATACAGATACCGGACCAAACTGATATAAGATACTGTGAGTCACCTTAAGCTATAAATAAAATTATTTTATTAACTGTATTTAATCTAAACGCTAGAGGAGCTCATCACCGGCCAAAGTATAGCTTCTCCTCCATCCATTTAAAGAATCTAATTATGTACGTTCGTCACTGCTCAGTACAGATAGCGTTGCGTCGTTCCTAATTCCTAAAGGAAGCAAAAAAAAAAAGGCGGTAGCAAACACTTTTGCTTATTACTTTATTATAATTTGTTATTGTATCCAACGTAAAAAAGGTGATGATAATATCATTACTTCTGCTACTACTATTATACACTTCAGTAACCTGGAACTCAACTTGCCAGAAGCTTTCTTTCCTCCAATAGTTTGCTAAAGGATCTTCCAGTAATACAGAGGTATGTAAATACGAATGATTATATTTATGCAATAACAAAGGGGACTAAAATGGTATCATCCGCTATATTTATGCAAAGGAGACTAAAATGGTATCATCCACTGTATTTATGCAATAACAAAGGAGACTAAGATGGTATCATCCGCTATATTTATGGAATAACAAAGGAGACTGAGAAGGTATCATTCGCTATATTTATGCAATAACAAAGGAGACTAAGATGGTATCATCCGCTATATTTATGCAATAACAAAGGAGACTAATATGGTATCATCCGCTATATTTATGCAAAGGAGACTAAGATGGTATCATCCGCTATATTTATACAAAGGAGACTAGGATGGTATCATCCGCTATATTTATGCAAAGGAGACTAAGATGGTATCATCCGCTATATTTATGCAATAACAAAGGAGACTAAGATGGTATCATCCGCTATATTTATGCAATAACAAAGGAGACTAAGATAGTATCATCCACTATATTTATGCAATAACAAATGAGACTAAGATGGTATCATCCGCTATATTTATGCAATAACAAAGGAGACTAAGATGGTATCATCCGCTATATTTATGCAATAACAAAGGAGACTAATATGGTATCATCCGCTATATTTATGCAAAGGAGACTAAGATGGTATCATCCGCTATATTTATACAAAGGAGACTAGGATGGTATCATCCGCTATATTTATGCAAAGGAGACTAAGATGGTATTATCCGCCATATTTATGCAAAGGAGACTAAGATGGTATCATTTGCTATATTTATGCAATAACAAAGGAGACTAAGATGGTATCATCCGCTATATTTATGCAATAACAAAGGAGACTAAGATGGTATCATCCGCTATATTTTTGCAATAACAAAGAAGAATAAGATGGTATCATCCGCTATATTTATGCAATAACGAAGGAGACTAGGATGGTATCATCCGAATTACCTGGTGGCGCCATCTCCTTTCCAAGTAGCCGTCCCTAATCTAGCGGTGATAGAATAGAGGGAATGAATCTAGTTAACACCACCCACCACCAACTCTTGGACTACTTTATTTCTAACGAATTACTAATGATTAACGAATAGTAAGATTTACCGTTACATTATAACGCCCTGAACCCACAACCCGCAGATCATGAGTCGAGCGCCCTAACCATTAGGCCGTGCCAGATCCTGATTTTGGTTATATAACATATATTTAATTGCTTTCATTATTTATAATAAGAACGAATAGATTATTAATAACTCGAAGTGATTTTTTTCTATTACTACACATTTCTCTATTTATCATGATCAAAATTTCTTGACAAGTTCAAACAGAAGACTAACAGGTAAATTCTACAATTTATCTGTCACCACTAAGCACATATGTGTTTAAAAAAACTTGAAAAATAATTTGATTTTCTGTTGCCTGATTCTTCTCGTTTCCTTTTACAGGTTCTACCAATAAAGAAACACAACGGCATTATGGATTTTCCCAATAAAATATTATCTGAGTCTGATTTTCTTAATGAACTGTTTTCTTTGATAAACAGCACTTATGATGGTTCAAACTATTCGCTCCCTTGGTGGTTATTTTCTGACTACGAGTACGATTATTTGACAAACCAGACGACAAACGCTGAAAACAGTTCCGATTCAATGTGGTTTTTGTCAGACGACGAACTCGGCGTCAATATCCTAAAATATTTCAACGTAATATATGTCCCGTTTATTGTCATTTTTGGAATGTTAGGTAACGCTCTTTCATTTAAAGTATTCTTCTTCAGTCGGCTTAAGCTGCGATCATCCAGTCAATACTTGGGCTGCTTAGCGGTCTCAGATTTTGGCTATTTGTCTATGGTTCTGATTACTTACTTTCAAAGCCAACAATATCCGGTAAGTTTTCACATTTAATATTAACATTGTGTTCTTTATAACTATGATCAATTGTGATCTGATTTAAACTTCCATCTTGAGATGTTAGACATTATATAAAACAGTATTATTGGTAATTAACACGCTGTAGTACAATCCTTAAAATAGTCTATAGCTTAAATGCACATTTTCCAATCCAGATTATTACAGTTGAGCACTTTATCTTAACAGTTAGCGCATCGAGTTTTTCTACGCCACCTAGTAATAAATTAGCAACTACGTTTCGTGGACTTAAAGAAATTGGAAACATTAGTCTGCATAATACGGAACTACAGATTAGATGTATTTGCGATCTCTGCTAAATCAAACGCCGTTGTATAGAGATTAACTACAATATTTAGACATCATTAATAACCCATGAGGGATAAACCTATCGCAGCTTATCTCGTGATTACCATAACATAGAAAATACGCAACAAAATAAAGATATGTGTTTTTCTCTTGAAAACAGATTTCCAAAAATCGGTTAAGATCATACAGCTCAAATATAAAATACACCTATTAAGACCCAAAGATATAGCCAAGAAACTTAGTTTAGACCTTGACATTTTGTTGAAAGGCAAACAGTGAAATGTTACTTCTAAGATGTTTGCTTCATTCTGAGTTACTATGTTACGTATCCATTAGGAACCGTAGGAGTACTAGATGAAGAGCCTAAATGGAACCACCGACATAAAGTCACCTTAACACATTCAGGGGATTGCAGGGGCACTGTTACTTATTTCGTTTTCACTAATTATTATTATAATTTTCTTCCTAAGATTGAAAACAGTCTCTTACAAGTGTATCGTTTTAATTTTTCAGTTCATTTCATTTAGGTAAGATCAACGTGCTTAAAATTTGAGATGTTCGAAAATTTACCAAAATTCTAGTTCATATGTAACAATTTTTACGAACGTTTTAAATTTCACAACCGTTTTTTTTATTTACATTTTCATTTATCGTTTAATATAGTAGCAAGTATTTTCCGACTACACTTGTATAAAATAACTTTATACAAGAGTAAGACTCGATTGAAATTACGGTGTCTTATTTACCTAAAACCCAAACATGAATGGCTTATGTTTTTACAGGCTCTCAACTACGACGTAGTTTGCAAATGTGTCCAGTACTTGTCTTCTGTCTTCAGCTGTTGGTCCGTATGGTTAATCGTGTCTTTTACTGTGGAGCGTTTTCTGGCTGTAAAATTCCCACTTTTAAGACCCCGACTGTTAAGGCCTTCTCGAGCACGACTTGTTATTTCACTCACAGCTTTTATGAGCATCTTGTTAAATTCTTACATCATACTTTTCGCTGGAATCTCACGGTTACCGGACACAAATCTGCTCCAGTGTGACGTCCTCCAACAGTATGAAAGGTAAGATTGTATATGTATATATACTAGTGTGGGAAGGAATTTTTTATAACTGAGCATGACTTCAAAGTGAATTTAAGAGAAGGAACCGACAGGAGATTCAAACGAAAGGAATCATAATATTCCTTTTTTTCAGTACTCTGTATTTTGATTGAAGTCAGTATCGAGATTATGTGTTATAGGCCTGATTTTATTTGTCTTGCAGTAATAACAATGTGGTTAGTATATACATGTATGTACCTAACTTCGTCACGTAGTGATTCTTAATATTAATATTGGGACCATTACACACACATATACATAGGTAAATTTATATATACATGCCTTAACATTAATATTGGCACCATTACACACACACACACATACACATAGGTAAATTTATATATACATGCCTTAACATTAATATTAGCACCATTACACACACACACACATACACATAGGTAAATTTATATATACATGCCTTAACATTAATATTAGCACCATTACACACACACACACATACACATAGGTAAATTTATATATACATACCTTAACCTATCTCCAAAAAATAAAATATATGGTTTTGTACTTTTGTATTAAGTTGATTTTTTGAACCTACGTGTTTTCTTAACATCATACCATAATCTGTCTATTTATTGCTTTGGACCTATCTGTCTACATATATATAAAGCAGAGTTGTCCATCTGTCTGTCTGGTGTCTTAACGTCACAAGTTCGTGTGAGGAACTGATTGAATCAATTCAGGTAGACCCTAAAAGATTAAGTTTAAACAAAGAAACAACCGGACGAACGAGTCGAGTACTACGGTCTGATCGCTTGTATTCAAGTAGACATGAAAGGTGAATAACGCACACCGTCGCGTATTCCACGTAACGGTAATGAAACAAATGCCCTGCGTGATTGGGGTATGTTTTGCTATCTATTTATTTGAATAAGAATTGCCCATTCGTCTGTCTAGCTGGTATCTTGACGCTATAAATAATTCAGAGGAACTGGTTAAGTCATTTTTGATTACATTTGAAAGAGGAACTCACGTGGACTCCCCAAAAATCAAGTTTAAATGAACGAACAAGCAATTGGACAAAAGGTTCGTGTATGGCATCCATTTATTCTTTTTACTACGTGAACATGACACTAAACGAACGTGACGTTTATTTAATGCCATGTGTGGCAAGGGTACTTTTGCTTAGGGATCATATTCAGTCAACAAATAAATGTCACGCGAATACACTTTCTAGTATATATATGTGTGTGTGTATATATGTTCTAATGTTGTTTTTAATGACTGTCAGAACTAATATACATCATTAGTGATATGTTAAATTAATTATACTTGTCAAAAGGCGTTAGTGTTAGGCCTATCAAATATTTAACACTACATTCTTCATGTAGTCCCTTAGGAATTGTCAAGAATTAGAAGTGTATATAATAACAGTATTCGCACCACACTATGGTCACCATATCCATTGTATAATAACAGTATTCGCACCACACTATGGTCACCATATCCATT